CGATATATATTTAGTCCTCATAACTTTAAACAGAATTTATACTTGGACAATAACCGTGTGGTGGCTGGCGCTATAAATAGCCGTCATAGCCTATTCGAGCTTTTGGACAGAGCAATTAGTCCATTCTTCTCAAGCTACATTTTGGCCTTGTCACTTATAAGGTTATCAACCTTGACTGTTATTTTATGTGATCATTTGTGTGCGCATTGCTTATCTTACTCATCACATGTTTGTAACCTATTTTTGTGTGACTAAAAATATTGATTAACGCTTGATTAAATTGAGTTGTCTGACTCGCGTTCTCCATTGAGCGTCATTCATTCCCGTATTTAACTTATTTAATTCCCTTATTTACCAACACGAGTTAAGTCAATGTCTATAGACGAGGATTGGCAACATGTATATTTCGATAGGAATCAGAAACGATCTATCAGGAGGCAGATATAAAGCCGTTAAAACTGTTTTCACGTGTAAATAATTGAAATTAAATACAGTGTGTCATTAGTATTCATTTTTATTTTTATTGAACAACTATCTGAGTTCTTAAGACTTGAATATGTGCTCAGTAATAATTACTTCTTAAGATGATTGACATTGATCTAGTATATTTCCAGCTAGTTTCTAGAATCATTATATAATTCCTTGGTACATTTTTCATTTATTATAAATTAACAACAAAATGAAAAAAACTATATATCACCTTTTAGGAAATCAATCTCTTTTAGTAAGAAACATTTTGAGCAGTAAACCTGTCATTGATTGTACTCATTTGTTATGCCAATTAAACTACACACTTTTGTATATCATGTCATTAAGTTCTATATTTAATCTACGGACTTTATTTAGTCTTATTCCATAATTATCACACGATAGAAAGTTCAAGCTTTTAGAAAATGGAATTTCTTATGTTTAGCACGTTCCTCAAGGTCATAATTAAAAATTCAGCCTTAATGAACTTTTAGAACTTACCTAGATAAAGAAAACTGAAATATGTAAAGTAAACTTACATGAAAAGACAAATTGGAAAGTGGAAAATCTTTATCTTTTTATTTCAGGATATAGAAACATTTACATTACATTTATCATTCAAGTTTCAATTATACGTTAACCTCTATAATGAATCGATAAAAGCTTTACAGTTTATCTTTAGTCTATGACTGAAATACCCAAAAAGTTTACTGATATCATTAAAGTGGTTGTTATCCAAGAGAAAAAGTTATTTTAGTATAATGAGTTATAAGTATAAGTAGTGGGATATATTAGAATCAACAATACCTTGAGTGGTATGTTGATTAAGAAGGTCATTATTGAAAGATAAAAAAAAGAAACGGATGACGTACATCGACGCATTCGTTTATTCGACGTGACTATTATAGATGGTGTTTGCTATAAAAAATAAAAATGTAAGTAAAAAAGTCAGTCGTGGGCTCTACTCCTGCTGGCGTGGATCGTGTATGCGCATTGCTGAGGAGTACTACATTAAGAAGACACAACCATCTAGTACTTCCAGATTTCCAATAGTTATCTTACGTAGATCGGTTCGTGTTCACTATGAAATCATTGACCTACCTGCTTAGAAGCCTTTTATTCCTCAAGATTACAGGTACACCTTGCTGACGAGTGCCAAATAGCACGAAACACGGATCCAGGTTCCCTATTGACTAACTTCAATCACCATCTTACTCAAACTTTACCAATCTATATATTTTTTAAACAAAATATATCGTTATTCTATGTATCAATTTCGGAGTATATAACCAAATCTATTCATTCTGTACTTAATTAGATACAAATCGTAAAAAAATGGGAAAACATATTCTCTTTATTTTTCATAATGAACAGTAACTAACAAGTGAATCATTAGTAAAATATAGCTTTAAAGCTACGAATATTCCTTTCCAGTTTCCCTAGAGAATCCAAATAAACTCTATCTATCTATCTATCTATCTATCCATATATATATATATATATATATATATATATATATATATATATATATATATATATATATATATATAAACAATCAACGAATATCTTTTATAATTACTAATGAGTTGTTTGTCTACAAATCAATTGTATGTTAGAAAATATTGTCGAGAAAAGGAAAAATACAATATCCTAGAGATTTCGAAGAAACAAATAGGGAGTGGGATTGTAGTATTGAACTAATCTAAAATAGTAATATATTTTTAAGGAGTTTTATTTTAAAAAATCACTTTGTTGGTGAATTACACTTCAGTTCTATATTTTAAGAACGAACTTGGAAACACTAAAGTTTTTAATATCACCTAGAACCTTCTCGGATAACTGTCAGTCTTAAACCATAGTAAAGGTTGAGAGTTGAGTATGGTATTAGTAACTCCACCTCGATAAGAAGAATCTCTCTTAAAATTGCTAAAGAGAGTATAAATACTCTACAGTTTAATACATATATACATCTGCTCATATATCTATGAGATAATGCGAGCCATAAAAAATGAAGATTGTGGGGAGATTTACGATAAATACAGAAACGAAAATAGTTTTAAACAAGTTTTGGTTTGTTACTTGTATAATAATAGTATAGAGCTCACCAAAAATAATGTCAATGTATATTTAACTTGAACTATCCTGCTGCTGATTTGTTACATACTGTGGGAACTGACTTGATAGAAGTTTTTATAAAATAAATTTATTATGTCTAACAATGGATTTCAGGACGCACGTTTTGCTCCATTCAGTACTCGTTAATTGAATATGCTTCCATCTTAGTGCTGATGTTCACCCGGAGTCTTAGATTTCACTACCAGTCACTATCTAACTGTACTTAAAAATATTTGTGACTGAATACAATATTGAGATAATACACACAAAATGAATATTTACCAACTATGACTGGTCGAAATTTGATTAAATCACCAGCTACAAGATATAATACAATACAAATTTAATTAAAATTGATACCTATTGAACAAGAAAGTGGTTATTTAGAATAAGTATTGAACTAGGTAGGGTGTTAGATAACTGAACTGATGGGTATTGAGTCCCAATAAAGGCATGAACATCAAGTCTTAGATGTAGCTGACAAGTTGCAAATCAAATGAAACCAAAATTCTATATTCCACTCCTAGCTCCGTTTCATCGATTATATTCAAATGTGTTTGAAAATAACTTACTCCGAAGCTAATTAATGCATGTACAAGTAATAAGGATCCTTGAGAAGATCAAGCATTGATTATTGACACATTTAATCATAATAGAATTATGTTTATCTGTATGCATAAATAGCTGACATTCACATAATCATCTTATATTAAAAATTGTTTCAATAAAAGTGTAGAACATGCCAGTGACTGTTAAAATGAGTTTGGATGTGTAAATGTTGTATCTTATCGTAAAATAATTTAATTATTATATCACAATCAAAGTGAAGTTAAATGAATTGATGACGAAACCTCAGAGTTATGATGATTACTTTTATTTCAATTCGCAAATATGCTTATGAAAAAAATCATTCCAAATCTTACTGTGTCAGATTCAAGTTTTTCTTTTTGTTAGTTCCAGTTCTCTTCTATTACATACTTATGGATATATCGTAAGACTGACAAAATAATGCTCAAAACAAAATGATAGAAATTAATTTATTTTATGGATTTGTTATTCACCCGCCTACACCCGAAAACCATATTATTATTACCACTATTATTATTATTATCATTAAACATAGAAAAACAACGGTTTTCGCACTTTTTCACTACATTTAAAGAGAAATGTAGTGAATGGGAACACAAGTGAGGTGAATTGAATGTATGTAGATAGATAATTACAGAACATGTAAAATCTGAGAATTTGGTTATTTATTCTCTGAAGAAGTGACTTACACCAAGTCACGAAGCGTCAGAAAATCTAATTTTCTACTCATTGGGATATTACAAATATATTATTTATTTAAAAATCTGAGAACCTTATAATAATTACTTTGTTTGAAAAATGTCAATCAATCATCTCAGACTTCATTGTTTCTTCGCTTCTACAGCAATCATTCTCTGTTCTCGTTCACTTTTCTTCAATATTCTCAATCTTTTGCCGCTAAGCGTTTCATTTTCGATTCATGATACATACTACTTATATCTGTCGACATCAGTAACACACATTATAGAAGTACTGAATAAGGTTAGAAATGGTGAATCGTTAATAGTTTCGACTAATTTATAAAATATTTTTATATTCATTGTACTGGAAATCAAGAATTGTACTGACTACAGAAAACTAAATTAAGTAGAATTAGGAAAATAAAAATGAATTAAGAAGGAAGAAACATCATACTATTATTCAATCAGATGTTACGCAACTAAATATTACCTACTGAAGTTACCAGAATAATGTATACTTTTGCGGTAAATTCTTTATTACCAAAAAGTAAACAGTTATCATTGTGAAATATAAATAACTGAATCTGTTTTACTTTACAACAAAGCAATATACTCTGAATTAACATCTAATTGTCAGTATTTTCTTGTCAAGTCAGTGAAATACTAAATATTTTATCCAATTATTACTCATTATGAAATTCTGACTTTTTAAGATATTTTTGAAAAATTAAGTGTCATTGTGATCGGGATCAAGAGGATAGAAAATATTTATGGCTCAAGACAAATATGTGGGAGTTGTAGTGATCTCTGAGCTGGGTGTATTGTTCATCTGTAAATCACCAGCACATACTTCAGGGAAACTTTGTTGAGAATATAAACTGTCAGTCAAATGTAATATAGGACCTGACACAGATGTACATCGGTTCCAGTCGCTGATTTTAGTCTCATTGTTTCCCCTTAACCAATCTGCCTGCTGGAGGAAAACTTAAAGAAACAAGTGCTCCAGCTAATATAGTCTGATTAAGTTATTGCGATAGGAAGTAGAAGCTAGGGTCGGGTAAAAAGTAAAGCGGACCAACGAAAATGACATACCATAGATTAATAAAAAATAACGTTTCCTGATATTTATAAATGTTGAAAAATGCTTACCGACATCGGAGAAAAAGAACCAGTAGAAAAAATGTTGTCAGTATACAGCAACAAACCACAATTGTTACGAACGGAGCTAAAAAACAGATTAAAATAAAGAAGAAAAGCAATGTTAAGCTTTAATCTTGATCATCGTCCGAATTTGCCGGATGATATTGTTCTGAAAAGCTTTACTTATGACTATTACCTCTCTTGACGGATAGACCTCCTACCAGGGGTTTCCGACCAACGATATTCTGAGCTCACATTTCCAGTTATTACAAAACGCTATTCATGGTCTCGATGTCTACGTACTATTCTCTGCTCAACATGCTCTTTGGTCGTCCTCTCTTCTTGTCGGGTTGTCGTTCAGTATCGTGATATGATCGAAGTTATACATATACCGCACCAGTGGTCTGGAGGTAGTGTTCGCGCGCGAGACAAGATATCCTGCGCTCAGTCCCCGATGGGTCCTCACTACTGACGAGCACCAAGTTAGGATAGAACAACTGCTCAGTCTCTTCTGATTTTTGATGATGGTCCAATTATGATCAGTTTGTACTTTAAACTATGGAAGTATTGATCTGTATACTTTTTTTTCTTGCATTTTTCCATTTAATTCGTCCCAGAACAGTGATTCAACTAGGTTTTTTTGTTGTTTATTCTTATGTTGTTAGATATCTGCCAATTGGAACCGATCAATCAATAGAAGAATGCGTAGGCTTCGTGCCAACTTATCGTATTTTTTTACCTAATGATCAATTTCTGTAATTTGCATAGTTATTTTACTTAGCGTTAACTAAAAGGTTAAATGTGTAATTTTATCACAAAACACTTATCGAATACAATTAGCTGTCTACTTTGTATACAGTCTCTCGTGTTTCCAGTTAATTGATGTGATTTAAAAAATAGGCTACCAATCAATATTTGTTCATTGGCTAGTCAGCTTCATTTACTGTACAGGAATTATAGAGATTTAGTCATATATATAATTTGTTTCTTTACATTTATAAGTAACATTTATTTACGAATGTTACATTACACTTTAGATTGGTAAATAATCTAATTAACTGCCAAAACGTAATCATGTTCCAATTTTTACAAAACACGCTGATTAAACACAAAAGTAGAATAATGATGATAATAATAATAATGATAAGAAGAAGACAAAGAGGAAGAAAGGATACGTCTTATCTCCGAGGATATAGTTTCTTTCTATTTTATCCTATTTTTGACGTATGATTTACATCGAAAATGAAAAGAAACCTTCACATTGTTTAAGAACGAGTGAATAGGATTCACCAGTTTCATCTTTTTTTTAAAGACTCATTAAAATGAACGTAATAAATATGAATTGAAATGTTGAGCAAATATGTCTCATTTGGTTGTAACCACATGACTCCAAGGCTACTGCTCAATCCACTATAAGTTTTTCAGCACCACCTATGCCAAGGTCTGAATATAGTCTGGATATAATGGTCTGATTCTTTCTTTCATTGTTTGTGTTAATGACTGAAACTGATCAGTCTTATTTTGGAATACGTGCATCCTGAACGCATTGTCTCTCCCTCTTGTTAATAGACTGTATTTATATTTGGGATAATTCGTGTATATTTTGTTGTTATTCATTTTCAGTGTATTTAACAAAATCTAGGAATATAAGTAATCATCTTAATTGGAAATAACCAATCATTGATATTTTCAAGCTTCAGTAGAAATAATTACAAAATAATTAACCATGTCATCTTTTCATTTATTTACAGTATCAAGAATCATTAGTCATACTAAAAACAAATGGCGAAAGTAGAATTGTGATCGCTTTAACACAAGACAATTAATTTCAATAGTTAAGATCATGGAAAACTATGGAAAACCTGAAAGCATCGAATGGCCGTCTCGTCCTACTGTGCGAGTCCTCAGAAGTGCACATCCACGATCCCGCCTCCCGAGATCCGAACCCAGGACCTATCAGTCTCACTCGTGAGCGCTTAACCACTAGACCACTGAGCCGGCCGGCATCCAGCGGTGTTAATATCTAATTTCAACTAACCCACGAAATTGAGCGACTCATCCAACATTGTCTTTAGTGAGTTACTATTTCACAACAACCCCGGTTGTACTCCATTGGTCACTTATTCTCACTATAGACAATTAGCTAGTAGTTTGTAACTAAAAACTAAGTCTTCATACAGTATTCAGAAAATCGACCATAAATTTCCTTCTAAATTCACTTTATACTGACTATGAATATATACTGAAGTCATTGTGTTTAAGAAGGATGTAAAACTATTATAATTACATTTCTCCTTTTATTCATTAAACAATAGAGTTTTATTCAATCAGAAGATGACTTTTGAGATCATTGAACTAAACATCAATCAAACCCAATTATGTCATCAACTAGTTAGGTATCAGGAATGATAAATGATTAATCAATACATCATTTCCAGAGTTAAACGCAGCTAAAGTTGTGAATTGTGTGAATCCTAACTTAGTGTTTTTTTAATTCAATCACTGGTAAACTCATTAATAAGCATTACTAAACAACATGAATAGTTATCCACTTCTCTTCAACTGAAATCAGTATCAAACTGAACTAATCTTTTTTTAAAAATTGAATCAACTAAATTCAACTTTTAAAGAATTGAATCATTGAAATTCAATAGAATATTTTAACCTGACAACAAAGTTATATCAGCGGTGCGCAATGCTGATGAGTCCCACAAAATAGAACGAAACGGTTGTCTAGTGCTTCCATGTTTTCCATAGTGATCTAGCTTCAATTGACTCATGATCTCAACTATCGAAATTACTACAATCTTCACAAAACCTCTTCTGATATTAAACAACGGTATAGTTAAAAGTTGATACAAGGATATATATATATAGTTTTTCTTTTCGGTTAGAAATATTAATCAATGATTTATTCAATGAAAATACTATAATACAATTATTAATAAATGGTATTAATAATAAAGTTCACGTCTGTAATAAAACCTTATGCTGTCTATTGAACAAAATAGAACAGAATAATACTAATCTATGGATAATCATAAGAAAACCAATATTACAGTTTAATAGTAACACACAAATAATGATGGAGGGAGAGAGATAGAGAGAAGGGAGAAAGAGGCGAACAATTCAATGTTTCACACTATACTTTCATATAGAAGAAAAGAACGAACGATGAATGACTAATCAGAATTCTATAGTTCAACAAGTTTAACAAAGATTTTTAATACAACCTGTTCTGATAAAAATTTTTCCCTTGTAACTATGGAGAAAGCCTTGATAAAATCAGTATTGACTTAGTCAAAATAAACATTTGTGAAACATTTTGTAAAATAGAAGACTTGTTAATAAAACACTGTATAAAAATAAAAATCACGACACTACTTAAAAACCTTCATGAATACGTATATAGTAGTAGTGTATTTAAGAACTCATTTGGATCCAATTTACAGGTTGACACTTTGTAAGAAATACTATCCAAGTTCCAACTAATCTCACAAGTTGAAATCATGAGCCCATTGAAGCTAGACCACCATGGAAAACCTGGAGCACTGGACGGCCGTTTCGTCCCAGTATGGGACCCCTCAGCAGTGCGCATCCACGAACCCGTCCCCCGCGGGATTCGAACCCAGGACCTACTGGCTTCGCGCGCGAGCACATAACCGTTAGACCACTGAGCCGGCATCCGACGGTGTTAATGTCTAACTTCAACCAATCCAGTTCTAACTAATCTGTCAGGTTCTGTAGGATAATTGAGATACTAATAAACAATCAGTTATAGATTATGAGATGATTCCTGAGTGTCATCGAAATTATTCCGGTAGTATTGCATTTAACGATAATGGTAATAATAATCGCTTTACTAAATACTATTTATGTACAAATAAATAAACTAGGAAATCTTTATACCAGCGATTAACATTAGTGTATGTTCTTTTAATAAACTGGCGTCTCACTCTGCCAAGTGATATACAAGACAAGAAATATGAACTATGTGGTTTGTTTCGTATTTGATAAGATAACAAGTTTAACATGCGTCCACACATTTAAAGTGACTATCTACAACCATATTTATGATAGTGTCTAAAGCATAACAATTTATCTCTTATAGTAGCTATCATTATGCAACAAAAAACAAAAGCAATAGTTGTTAACTAGTCACGTAATCATTAATCACTGAACTATTATCAATGAATGCTTCAATACACTAACCAAACCAATTATTGAAAAACTTTTATTTCGATTACTTAAAATGGAATTTCTCATGAACAGTTTTATTAGCCTTCCAACGTTCTTTATGATAAACCCAGGTGAACAATCATTAACTTAATTTTTCCTACCAACGCCTTGACTCCTAATAAGTCCTATTTATTTATTTATCAAGGGGTCGTGATGTACGGAATTAATATTATGTCAACTAACAACTCACTAATAAGTACAGTATTTTGGTTTATTAGTTTGTATTCGAATAAAATAACTTCGATTTCGTAATCTGACAATTGATGAGTAATTTTGTCTTTTGGAATATATTCCCTTATTGATGTCAGCATTTCTCTCATCAAGATACAAGTTACTTTGATCACTTCGATAGTGATTTGAACAGTTATGACCGTTCATAAGTATGAAAACTTCTACTGAAAATCATTAACAAAGTTAGACATGATAATTTTAAATAGATTGGACATCGGAAACATTGTAAGTAATAAAATAATTTCACTTGATGTTGTTTGGTTATATCTTCTTACTGTTGTTGAAGACTGCGATTGATCAGTCTCTTGTTGATATATGTGGGATGCAGATACATCCAGTTGACGAGTCTCAAACAGGACAAAATGCGCGTCCTGGGTTACACTGCTAGCCACTATCCATCTGTGTTAATAAAGCTTGTGACATAAGGCAACAACTTCATATTCGTGATATCCCAATGTGTAGACAGTAGAATTTCAGGAGTTTCGCCACCAAGTTTAAGTTACTTTTTCAGAAAGCAAGTCAATAAAATACCGAGTTAAATTAACACAAGTTTAAATAATAATGAAAAAAAAGGCGGATTATACCAATATCATGTGAGTTTTTGGTCAAAGAGGT